AGTTGTACCAATCTCAAAATTAAATTGGTTTTGTTATATAATAATTAGTTTAGCTTTTATTTCATAACAAGTTGTGCCTTTATATACGCACCTTAATATAAACGTAAATATCTAAGAATGAGTGTAAAATTGAATACTCATAAATCAGGCTTCTTAAAACACAAAAGTGCACCCCTCGAATAATGTACTTATTTGAAGGGACAAATTAAAGCTGTTAATATCCTACATGGGGAAACTCAAAAACTAACGATAGTATATCAAGCACATCAAAATTCCAATGAGAAAAGTCTTGAAAGCACATTGTTGACTATGTTAAACATATTTAGATAAACAAGACCACTTTTATTTTTTAAGACGCATGATTTACAAGTATTCACTTTTACATTCATACTTAGATATTTACGTTTATATTGCATTATTATTTACCATTTGTACTATGTCTAGAACCTCACTTTCAGGCACTCAACTTACTTTCCAATCAGCGAAAAGACCGTGTTTGCGCAAAACAAAAAGATGAAAAGTAAAACAACCAATCAGAAGCAACAATGCTCATAGTTCGGATTAAAATCATGCTATCTCGGTACGTGTACCTTGGGCACGTGCCCCTCCGCCCTTGCTTTCCACGGCCTTGATTCACAGAAAAGTATTAATGAAATTAAACGTAGTTTATACTATTTATCTGATAATGAAAATTTATACAAATCTTTGTAACATTTCTTTGTCACATAAGATCGAGAATCTTATGTTACAAAAAAATTTTATTTAAATGTATTATGTTTATACACGTTTTATTTAAATTCATTTGTTAAACGTATAAAAGTAACGGACAAGCAAGGTGTAAGCAAGGCAAAAATTTTCCTCCGTATTAGAAAATACTTTATGGGAGAGCGATAATATGATAGCAATGATGCTTTCCAAGAGGGAAAGAGAGATGAATAGAAAGATTAAAAAGAGTAGAAAAGAGATACGGGTGGATAAAATGACATTATATTTAAATATGCAATTTATTTGATGCAAGATTTTTATTATTAAAATACATTGTGCTTTAAAAATATGAATGTATCCAATTCTGTTTTTACACTTTAGATATCTACGTTCCTTAAAAATCCGTGTAAATAAAGATAGAGTAGGTATGAAAAATGGAAGATTGATTCCAGACGTTAGAAACCAGTAAAAATAGTACGATAAAACAATTAAATATCAATATATTTCTAACTTTATATCAAATAACATACAAAAACTATTCCGTTATCGAAAGAACTTGGAAGAAACAAATCACAAATAAACTTCGATTTATATTTTTACGCTGTTTCAAGTCTGTATGAAGAAGCGATTGTCGCTATACACTTTCAAAAAAGTCATAAAAATAGCTAAATTTTAAAATTTACTTGAGCATGTATAGCAATCTAAAATGCAATTTTGACCGCTGGATGGCCGATGTAATTAAGGCGTTAGCCTATTACTCTATTACCCTAGGACTAACCCACTAGTGGTCGAGGGATGAAACCACTGGACACAGGTAGTTAGTCGCGAATTAGCGCTTCACCAGTGGCCATGTGGCCATGTGGAATTTTTCATGCTATTTTCAGGTATCTAACACCTAAACAGAGGCTACTTCCCATAAAAGTTCTCCCGGGAGATATCCCCTTAGCAGAGCTCCCACGTGTTGCATTGAGTTATTTTATTAATCCAATTCAATTCCGAGGGACCGGGATCATATCTGGGCAAACCTAGGAATTTTTCATGGTCGGTCCGTTCCGGATATGCTGAGCACCGTCCCTCACCATCTGGTCGCTCTTATTGTGGGCCTAACCAAACCCAGGATGGGTTTGAAAAAAGAGGATTTTGGATCGAATAGGTCTAAAAACCTCAATAGTTTTCACGAAGTGGTCCGGGGTAGTGAGGGACGGAATCCAAACGAGATCTCGCCTCTCATCATCCAGCCGCCTTATTGTGGGCCTGGCCGAACCCATAATGGGCTTGCTAAAAGAGACCCTCTTAGTGCCCACAGGGCGCAAAGTTTTGTTTAGTTATGGCAACGCAACACTTGCGCGATCTGCCTAGGGGGATGCCTTCCGGGAGGTCTTTTTAAGGAAAACTGGCCCCTATTTAGGCATTACAGACGTGGAGAAAACCCGGAAAACTCCACGTGACCAGCCCGTCTGAGCGCCTCGCTCGGACGGGCTGGCCACGACCGAACTCACAGTGTTAAGGGAACGAAGACCGCTTGGCTACTGGTGGGCCCAGGACGAAAAGAGTTTTTTAAAAAAATGTTTTTATTTGCATTCATATTTTATCTATAATTTTGAGACCGCCAAGAAAAAGCTTCAGAGTTTCTCTGACCGATCTGACAAAAATTAAAACGCAATGTTTTTAAAAACCTTTACTTATATTTCATGAAAAAAAAAATTTATGTTTTTCTTTTGAAATGTCTTTTTAAATAATATGTATAAATTTGAAAGCATTAATATACATTTTTAAAACATTTAAGCAGAGAGATCATCGGATGCTCCCCATTGTGAAGTTCTGTAGAGCCCAATGTGAAAGTCCGTAAACGTGGCAAAAGAAGTTAGAGGCTACGTAAATGACGTCCCCCTTGGAAGAGGAGGAGAGGGTTGAGCTTCAGTGGGCGTCCGTTTATTCCATTAAATTTTATACTGTTTATGAATTTTATTGCATTTCATTACTATTTCAGAATTTCTTGTGTTTCGTTTCCACTTATCCCCTTAAAATTTTAAGGGGGATCGAGTTTTGTTGGACATCCGAAGAGGGGAGGGAGTTACGGAAACTTAGATAAACTGAGACAGAGGGGAGGGGAGTAGAAATTTCAAGAAAAATGAGGACGTAATTTATGGACAACTCCTTATGAATATGAAGAGAATTAAAAGGATGAAGTGATATTCTTAAGTTTGTTTCTATTCAATAACTTCATTTTTCAGTATTGTGTGTTACCAACAGAATGACAAAGGTGGTTAAAGCATCAACCTACTGCTGTGTGAGACACAGGATTGAATCTAGTTGGAGAGTTAGAAGGCTTTTTTATAGACGATTTTGTTCTGGATGTGTTAGTTTCCGTCCTTCGCCACTAGACTGCTAGACCATGAGTTCGGTCAGGCTCACATCTCGTGAGCCTGACCGAACTCATGATGGGCAAGGAAAAAGGCCATCTTAGTGCTTGTAGGGCAGAAAGAGCAAAAAAGAGAAAAGTATCGTGTGTAATTCCATCTCTTGCTTTTTTTTTTAATTTCAAATCTTATTCATTTATTTTCCATAAACAATGTATCTGTTTTGGCTGCATTGTGTGTCACTCTTCTGATTATGCTCCACGTAATATGTAGAACATCAAAAAATTTAACAAGTAATAAAATAACTAAGTATGCAACATTGAACAAAATAATCTTAAATTGCATAGCGTTCTTCATATGTAAGTTTATATGTCGAGTACCGAGACAGATACTTATAAGTAATGATATAAGTAACAAAGTAATTAATCCATTATTAATTATGCATATCTTGGTTTAGAATTAATATATAATATATATTTGTAGTTTAAAATCCCAAAGAATTTTGACTTGTTCATTTAAACTGAAAAACTGAATAAATACCAAGATTTAGCAATTGAGATAACGTGACTTTGGAACAAAAGCACCAAAGTTGTATCAATTGTGATAGGGGCTATCACAATTGAGATTTTGGGTGCCATATCCCCTGGATGGATGATATATCTAGAGGGACTTCACTTAACAGACTTTTCAACATTTAATTTACAAAAAACAGCTATTTTTGAAACTTCTTGCATATGACAAAAATATCTGAAAAATACTTAAGTTATATAGTTTCAATGGTTCTTCATCATACATTTAATATTGGAAAACAAAAAAGCAAGCAATTTCTTATGAACTATATAGTTGGCCTATAACTGTCAAAATATATTTAAATATACTGTATTATTCTAAAAATACAAATTAATTTTTGTTCTAATTTCTAGAAAAAGAGTGTAATGCTGGTATTTATCTATGCTGCTAAATATTGTAATGTTAAGTGAATAATATGAAAAATAAATTGTATTATTGTAAAAATTAGTTATTTTAGTATTGAACTCTATGTCAAAAATTTTTTTTATAATGCCTATAATAATAATTTTTATCACCCATACTCAGAACTGTCTGTATATAGGAAAATATAAAATTGTTCACTTTTAAATTAGTGTTGATCCAACTACTAAAATTTAAACAATAGCAGAGGAAGACTAATACATAGGCTTTGGAAAGATTTTGTTTCAGTAATCCACTTTGGATATCTAATAGATTCGTGTGAAAATATCATTATTATAATCTTTAATTATCAATGTGTTTTTGGAGAAACTGATTATAATTGCAGAAAAAGTTGATTTTGCAAGATGTCAGAACTGGAACAAATTATCATATATTTATGCTTCTGTTGAAGATAAAAAGTTTTATTAAATTAATGTAATGCTCATTTTATTTTTAGTCTGGTATAAAGTGGTATACTTGTATATGTTCATTATTGATTCAGTATAGTATTTAAAATTTAAAAATTTTATATGTTCATTATTGATACCAGTACAGTATTTAAAATTTTAAAAATTGGTATAAATTTGTAACTAGCAATATTGTTTATCAACAAAGTAAGACTTACTATGCCTAATAATTAAAAAATATTAATTCTAAGCATTTTGATAGAAAATAAATCTTTGAGAAACATCTTTGTAGTACACTTATGATATTAATAAATCAATACATAGTATAACACTGATATTATGTTACAACCAAAATTAATGAGTCAAACATTTTAAATATTTGAATGTTCTACAAATTATTAGAAAAATATCTTTTATTTGTCTTTTAAGCCAAAATTTTGCTATGAATTCCAAATTTTCAAATTTATTTTATAATGTATTTCCGTTTAAGTTTTATTATGTTAATTTTAGTTGTGAAGTTATTAATTATTAAACGTATTTATTTTTTTCAAATTTTTAGAACGGCCAGAACCTCCTCAACAAGTAGAAGCTAATCATAAAGGTAGTCGACATGTCACTTTGTCTTGGAAAGTGCCCTTTGATGGACGTAGCACTATAATTCGTTACATCGTATATTTTAAAAATAATTCATGTAAGTTAACGTTACAAATATATATTATTCATGAGTTGAATTAAAATAAAAATCTATAAATTTCATTAAATTTTATAATGTTATTCACAGTTTCTCTAAGTTATATTTTAGAAATTAATTGAGTTAATTCTCTCCTACAATTGATATAAACCTCCTATAAATAAAGTTGCATTCATTTTCAAAATGTAAATAAATGAAAGTACCTATAATTAGAAATATTTCTGTAGTAATAGTGATAGCAAATGCTATTACCAGTATATGTTTAATATAGACATTTATCAAGATAATACAAATTTACAAATTCTGGAAAATAAAATTATTTTGCTTTTCATTTTTTTAATTTAATAAAAACTTATATTGTAATTTCTTTAAAAGAAATGATTAATACCTATCAACAAAATTATATCTTTTATTTTAGGAAATGCATTTTGGGCATGAAAACAAACTAAAGAAAATATTTTTATACAGTATATGTTAACCTATATAACAAGGAACAAAATGAAAAAAAAAAAGATAAAACATTTAAAATAAATATTACACTTTTTAATAATATGAAAGGGAAGAAAATAGAAAACAAAAATTAAATATTTAAAATGAATATATTAATAAATGTAGACCACAAAGAAGTGACAACAGATAAAAAAGATTTAGTAAAGAAGGACTGAAGAGAGACAAAAAGATTCCCAAAATTTATTTCCTAAAATAAAAGATGTAATTTAGTTTGTGTGTGTATGTGTGTGTCTTTCTTTAAAGAAACTAAAATATAAGTTTAATGAATGATAAAAGAAAACTCACTTAGAAAATGAGTGAAAGATTTTCATTCATTTTTACAAATTATTTAAACAGTCATAATGCCTTGTAATAACTAACTAAATTTTTAACAAAAATATAAAATTTACACAATCAGTTTTTATTTTTTTCTTATTATTTATTTCTCTATTATTGAATTTCAATTAAAACTTGTTTAATAAAGCTTTAAGTATTCTTATATTAATAATCATAATATTTACCAATGTTGTTTTTTTTACAAAATTTCATGTAAAATAATCTGATATACATTTAATTTTAAAATGTTAATTACAAGTAAAATTAAAATATCTAATTGTTAGATTAATCTTTTTTAGAATATTTTATAGTTATTAATTTTATAATTACATAAAAATTTAACAATATTAATAATGATTTTTAAGCTTTATATTTTAATTTAAAATGTTTATGTAGGATTATGATTTGATTTTTTAATTTTGTAAATTTGTGAAAAGAATTCAATTTGTAATCAAAATATAACAAAGTATATTAATAATATATCAAACAACATAATAAGTAAAATATATAAATAAAAAATTATAAAATAAAAACTTCAAAGAATAATAGATATGCCCACACTTAAATTTTTATCTCACAATAATAATATTTAAGATCAAGTCATTCGTATAAATATCCAAAAAAAGCAGCAAAATACAATCTTTGATTGTGATTATTTATTTCTAGTTAATTAAATTTTTTCTTCATGAATAAATTTATAATCCACAAAATATTGTTATATACAAATTAAACAATTTAGAAAACTTAAAATTCTCAAAAAAGTTATTTAAATGGATTGAATACTAAACAAATTGTTTTTATAGCTGTAGCAAAATTTCCACAACATATTTTTATTAAAAATATCAATATATCTATTTACATTTGTTATAAGTAGAATTGTCAGCTATTTTTGGAAAGTAATTGAATGCAGATTCAACTGCTGTACTTTTTTTTTAACAATTTCTAAATCTGTTTAATTTAAATCAATATTTAATAAAAGCATTGTAGACGTCACAGCAGGTGAAAAGTATGTTTCTTGTATTCATTAGTCATCCTCGAATGATTTCAGGAACAGAAAATATTGCATGAAAATTCCAATTAAATAATTTAAAATTCTTAATTAGTTAAAGGTCTGACTTTAAATGCCTTTAAAATATTAAAAGCAGTTATTATCAGCTGAAATTACGAATAAAATTGTCAGTTTTTCTCCCAGTTCTAATATCATATTAAAAATATAATTAATTAGAGTTGGGATGATTAGTGGATTTGTTCTAAAGTCTAATAGTTAGGATTTTATCATTTAATTAATTAATAATTTAGAAATGTCTATAGATAAAATATTAGCTTGGAACAAGTTTTGAATCTGTAATCTCATACTGTATATATGTTTGTTATGGATTTGTTTTATAATCTGAGCCAATTTTTTTCTTCAATTTTAAATTATTAATTAATTAAAAAGTAAAATTCTAATTATCCACTCAGCGGTGACTGACGGATATATCTGTCAAGGGCGATCATGTGGCACTGGTGAACAACAGCTATATCTGCAAAAAAAAGAGATATTGCCAAAAACTACCGCAAAAAAAAAATTCACATAAAAAAGGAATTATGTAACAATAGAAAAAGACTTTTCTTTACTAGACATAACTGTTTACAAAATTTTTTTCCAAAATGGTAATGAGAAAAAACACATGTGAAAATACTTTAAAAATTTCCTACGTTTATTTTCCACTACATAGGGATAGCACCATACCTGACTAACTTACTGCTGTAAGGTTATTAAATTTCATGATAAATTTAATTCAATTAACAAAGAAAAATATCTAAAAGTTTTGAAAGTTTCTTTGGCTTATAAAACTAAATTTGGTATTTATGCAGTGTTATTGAGAGGAAGCTGGGGATTTTTTCCTGGGAATGAAGAAAACATAAGAGCCCATAGTGCCTATCTCTATAAAATTAATGTTATTTTTATGCTAAGAGAAAATCAAATCTTTAAGACTACCTTTTATTAATAAAGAAACATTTTATGTATTTTATTTGTTTAAAAAACAAAAGGCTAAAAGGGCCTAAAAGAGGCAAAAGGAGTCTGCTCTACCCCCATATAAGCTTTAAACAGTCCTGTAGATATAAAATTAGACTCACTTGAACCTTTAACTGGTGTGTATTATGATTAAATCTTGTAAATTGAACGTTTTTTTTAACCCTTGCTGGGTTCTTCTTAGGCATCATTTAAGAAAATGTTTGATTTACAAGTTTTAATCGTAATACACACTGGTTTAAAGGTTCAAGTGAGTCTAATTTTATATTCATCCTGGTGTTCGGTCTGGATTTGAGCCCTGTAGATAACTGTATATAAATTATATATACAGTTATCTACAGTTAAATAAACTACTGTAAGGTCTCGTTTTATGCGGTGGATACGTTCTACAGAAAAGCGCATATAAAAAATTCGCATAAAAAAAGACTTTACTTGCCTTGAAAAAGTAGGGATACGTTCCGTAATTTTCTAAAATCGCATAAAACCAAAACAACGAGTTAAAATTAACTTAAAACTGCATAAAAAAGTTCCCAGAAATTAAAAGAAATAGGCTGCTTAATAAATTACTTCGAATGTCTGAAAGAAATTCATATAAAAGCTTAAAATAAACTTGTATTCAAACTTAATTCAGTTTATTTTATTGAAAAAGTAATACAAGGGGAATCCCCTAATTGCAAAAGCTCACTCTAAAAACAAATCACTGACATCTGGATGTGAAGAGTTAATTTATTAATTTTAACTTTAGTTTCTCGCCCGAGTTAACGCGGGCAGGTTACATAGCGTTGCATAAAACACGGTCCTTAAGGTAATTTTTGAATTTTTTTTGAATTTTTGGAATGTTTTTTAAGTCTCCAAATTTTTTAAAAATATTTAAAAATATACGGGCAGCTAGTGTTCACCCTACTTTAAACCCTTATCCTCCCGCGACGTCTATGAGATTGCCCCGGGAAATCCAACTCCAGCTGTGTTCAAGGTTATCCAGATGTGTAAACAATGACTCATCAGTGTTAAATTTCACAGAAGGGCGAGACAAAGGAAGTTAATTAAACTTTGAAGCTTTTTCTTCAAAATTAACAGCATTTCTTTCGTTTTTTTTTTCAGTTTTAAGTATTTTTTATGTTTAATTACATTTATATCAAAAATTGCTAGGAACTGAAGCGATGAAGGTAGATCTAGCTGTCCTTTACATCCATAAACGTTATATGTCAGTCGAACAAATGGAGTGAGCTTTGAGCGTTCCACGATTTTTGGAGACTGTCTATACGCAGGCTTCCTAAACAAGCCTATATGTATGCTTGTCCAAGAAATTTTTGGATGAAATACAAACCGCACAACTTCAAAATCGCATAAAAATAATCCGCATAAAAAGAGACCTTACAGTAATATAGATAATACAATTATCTATATTAGTTTATTTATATATCACTTATTTTATGAAAATTCCAATAAAATAAACAATTCTGTAAATTTCCTGTTAACTATTAATATGTAATATGTCTTGTTTTCTCTAAGACTATAATTGAAACATTATATAATTTTATTTTTGGTCTCCATGAAACCAGAAAAGTGTACTGAACATGTTAAGACTATTGGAGAGAGAAATTTATTAACTATTATCTTTTAAATTTGACATGAACTCGTATTTTTCTGATATGAATAAAAATATTATTATAAAAATATGGCCAGGACAAAATTTCAGTTTACAAAAATAGACAATACATATAATGTCTTTTAACTTAGTCCTTTCATATGTACTGTACATGAGGAAAATAACAATTCTATGGTGGAGTTGACCTTTTATTTGAGGCTACTCATCTGCCTCTATATGTAAAAAGATTTTACATAATCTCTGATTATGTTATTATCTTCTGATTATGAAAATAAGAATTCTATGACTGCTGTAGAATTGTTATTTTTATCGTGTGTATGAAAGGACTAAGTTAAATTTGTATATATTGTCTACTCAAGAATTTTTCTTAAATTTTTGTAAAATGAATAAAAATATTGTATGCTTTCATTAGAACTTTTAAAAGAAATTGCATCCACCAAGTGTTTTAAAATGAGTGATGAACTCAAAGGCACTTTGAGTGTTTATTTTTTTTTTAAAACTATAATTAAAACTATTTATTGGTTTTAATGCTATTTATCTTTCTTGGTATGTATGAACCTAATATTTTTAAATTTAAGCAAATTTTTAGTGGACATTTACATTTTACTTTAAAGATTTGATTCAAACTTTAAATTTGATTTGAGATGGTTACTAGAAGGTTGATGTATAAAAAAGAATAGAATTTGCAAGATCCTTAAGTAGCCATCTTTGAATCAACTTTAAATGTAATACAAGGGACAATCATAAAATAAAAAAAACGTTTGATTATAAAAAAGGAAAAAAATACTAATGATAGGAAAAAGTTTTATTAAGTAAATCACGTACATCTTGTTTGAATGTTTTCAGCTTGTTCTACAGTCTTCAAGCATTGAATTACATTCAACTGTTAGAATGTTATATTCTAACAGTAGAATGTATTCAATGCTTGAAGATTGTTTGTAAAACAAGCTGAAAACTTCATGATTATTAAACATTCATGAATATTAAATGTTTTCCTTGGCAAAATAAGGTGTTGTATCTAATTTACCTTACTGTCAAGGGAATGTTTTTGGAGAAATTTTATTAAGTAATTAGCACAAGACCAGTTATTTTTCTACAGTCACCATTATGATTAAGCACTTGTTGTAATGTGACACTAGTTTTTGGATTCCTTTATCACAAACTTCCACTGCCAGTTCTTTTAACCAGTTAGCGTCAGCTTCTTTTACCATGTCATCAGTTCCAAAAAGTTTTTGGAACCATATACTCTTTCAGCTTGGGAAAGAGGAGAAAGTCACCAGGGGCCAGGTCAGGACTGTATGATGGATAGTCAAAAACATCCCAGATAAATTTCTGAAGCACAGCTTGAGTGGCTGCAGCAGAGTGTGATTATGCTTTATCTTCCTTGATTAAACATTAAACACCATTTTCTCATACGTACTTTGTTCATCATACACTTCTGTGATTGCTTATGAATTTCTATAGGATGAATTTCTTCGTGTTTAGAAAATGAATAACACTTTTCATTTGGCAGGATTTTCAATTTTTGTATACATTTTAATTCTTGACAAAACAACAATAAGCTTACTGTTATGTCAGCTTAGTGCACATAGAGTTTTGATATCAGAGGACAAATTGATGTTGAATTGATAGTCGTCATTCACCTATGCAGAGTGCTATGTATTGTAGTAATAAGCACGTGGTGAGGGTTGATTTTACACAAAGAGACAGGTATATAAAATAAATAAGACGTGCTTTATTTTTTGTGAACTTATACAGGAAAGGTTCTTGTTGATTCTGACCTCCTGATTCCTTACTTCAAACAAAAGAACAAACAACACCTATTTCGATTCACAGTCGAGCAAGAACTTTCGCGATACAAAGAGATACTTAATTTCTAACTTAAACCTACTTATATCTAAAAAGAAAAAGAAAAAGAAAGTTAGATTAGAAGAGAGAAACAGAAATATATTTTTAGGAAGGAACGGGTACCCGAGTTGGTGATTGAGGTGGCGGCTGCTGGATGACTTCGTCTTGGGATTTTTCCTTTTGGGGACGGATCGCATGCGAGAATTGATAAAAAAATGTCTTTTATCTTTGGCTTACCAATGTCTTTATCAACGCTACTTCTTTCTTACGTGCTCTTCGTGACTCTTTCAGTCGAAGCAACACCGACCTGGAGACCTTACTCTGACGGTCTTCCCTCTTCTAGGTCCAAAGCCAAAAGTACTCACTTAGTCTCTCACTTGCCCTCTGGGCTATTTCTGATCCTTTGTCTCCTAATTAGGTCACCGACCACCCACACTTGGACGAAAGTTCCAGAAAGTATAGACAAAGGAACACAGAACAAAGAAAGAAGGAAAGATAGAAAATCATATATATACATATATATAAAAATATAACAAAAAATATATTGGTGTACCACCACACCGCTTAGCGAAAGGCAGTTAACGAACCTTAGACAAATCGCTATTGTGCTCCACGTTAAGTGGGTTTCCAACAAAAAATATATTGGTGTACCACCACAGTATAAATATTCTTTATTTTCTGGACACCTTCATATTAATAATAGAAATACTGTAATAATATTTCAATACATCATCTGTAAATCTGTATTATTTATATTGTATATATTCTGTACATATATATGTTTATTTACAATGAATCATCTATAAATATTGGAGCTTTTTGTAATAAAAAAATCTTTTTGTGCACACACTGTTTTCTTGAATTTAACATTGAAGAACAAGAAAAGATGTATTAAATAATTTTGTATATATTATATAAGATTTAAATATTATATATGTATATATTAAAAATAATATAATTTTGAATAAAATAAATAATTTTATTTAATATTTTTTTATTTAGCACCGTGGCCAGAAGGGTTATCTAATTTTAGTGTTGGAGGAGATCAAACATCAGTCATTATTCATAATCTTAATCCTGCTTCGACTTACAATTTTCGATTATTTGCTGAAAACAAAATAGGACAAAGTGAACCAAGCAAAACAATTACAGTAACAACAGAAGAGGAAAGTATGTTCTGAATTTATTCATAATAATCAAATTTTTCATTATGCATTTTGTGTTATAACTTTCAAAGCACTAATTCTATTCAAATAATTTTGAATGAGTTCAAAAAAATTTTAAGCATTGAATCTGTACATAAATGTTTTTGAGAAAAAATTTTATCTAGTTTTGAGTAGGACTTCTTTAGTAAGATGTTTAGTTGTAAATTTTTAAAATACTGTAGTTTTATTTTTGAATAAATTTAGATATAATATTTATTAAACAACATTTAAAGTGTTTTATATTAAATTATGACAAAATTAAGTTATTTGAAATGCTAAAAACTTTAAGGAGTCTAATTGATTTATTAAATTAAGCATTTTCAAAACTATACATATTTTATCATTTTATCCTTAACTCAAAAAACAAAGACTATCTGAATAGAGAACAACAAATTTAAACACATACAGGTGCTTTAGACATTCTAAACATGTTATAAATTTTGTAACATTCCAAAAATTTTATATGAGGGGTGTTCAAAAAGTATTGGACCTTTATTTTTCCTGCGTAAACCAATGATACATGGGAGGTCTCTTTCGATGGAGTTGTGGAGGGGACAGCCATGCACAGTCCTGAATTTTTTTCTGCCTGCAGGAAGCGTCAGTCACTGGCAGTTGACCTATGAGTGAACACATGTAGTGAGCGCTCGTCAGATTCCACTAAGTTGGAAAATGACTGAACAACGTGAGCAGCAATATTGCATCAATTTTGCCAAAAGCTTGGCGATACCCAAGTGGAAACCATTCGTAAGATTCAGCAGGCTTTTGGGGACAATCCTCAAGGCCAAAAAAAGCGTGGCAGGTTAGCAGCAATGTCAAGGTCATGTTGACAGTTTTTTTCAGCTCCCGTGGGGTAGTGTATCGTGAGTACACACCACAAGGCCAAACCATTGCAAAGGAGTACTATCAGGAGGTCCTTCATCATCTTTGTGATGCAAATGACCGGATCTGTGGTCAACCAAAACTTGGCAGTTCCATTACGATAACGCACCCGCCCATTCTGCGCATCTGATTCGGACTTTCATTGCTAAACACAACATTCCTGTGGTTCATCAAGCTCTGTACTCTCCCAACATGGCTCCGTGTGACTTTTGGCTATTTCCGAAGCTGAAAATGCCGCTAAAAGGAACCCGATTTTAGTCGAGAAGACATCATGCAGAATGCAACGGGCCGGCTGATGGCCATTCCAAAAGATGTGTTCCAGCAGTGTTTCCAGCAATGACAGGAGTGCTGGGAGAAGTGTATACATTACCAAGGAGACTACTTTGAAGGGGATTAGGGTTTTGAATCTCAAAATCAATAAATGTATTTTTGTCGACCAAAGGTCTGATACTTTTTGAACACCCCTTGTATTTTATTTTTATTTTTAGAATGCTATTAAATTTATGATATGTTTAAAATGTCTATAAATAGTTAAATTTAATCAAAAATGTATAATTTTGAAAAGTTAATTATCCAATATTTTCTCTAATGTCAATTTAATAATCAACTATGTAAGTTAAAAAATTTTTTAAATATTATATGTATTATTATATATGATGTAATCCTTATCTAGCTTCCTTTGTAAAGTACAAGGACTGAAGAGAGGTCATTAAGACTCAAAATGCATTTCCTCCAATAAAACCTATATCAACAACTACTACTTGTATATGTTACTGAAAAAAAGCTAATAGTTTTCAATTCTTTAAAATCCACAACAAAACCAATAATGGAATGTTTACTTGAATATTACAGTTGAGCCCACATATAATGAGATTGGTTGTTAAAAATTATCACTTAATATGAACTTTTCTGTCTCCTTGAATCTCCAATATTAAACCTATGCTAAAATGTTTGGATGTTTTGTAGTATTATGAAGTGGTATAATATCATATTAATAAAAATTTGAATCTAGTGACATGTGGTATGCCAAAAATAAATTATAAAACAAGAGAAAGCCAACCTTATCACTCAAACTTGAATGTCACAGATTCTTTCAAGTAAGGAATTTAATTTTTCTAACTAAAACTTTATTTTTGTTCCTTGGCTATCCAGTTTGATTTATTCCTACTTTAAATGTTTAGGCCAATGACTAATATCAGTTGACAAAATCAAAGATGCCACTTTATTAACCTTTTTTTTACTTTCATAGCATAACTACAGTAAATAAGTCAGGTTATCAATTTGAAGTCTAATCAGCTAATTGACCATACCTTGGTTCTTATAGACTTCAAAACAATTAGAAACATTGCCCATTCCCATGCTCTAGATCAAGGGTGGGCAACCTTTTTTATAACATGGGCCAGAATAAATTTTACGTTTTTTCCGTGGGCCATAGTAGTTAATTGACACCTTGTGACCTGTAAATTTTTAGTCTGCAAATATGAAATAAATAAATAAATAAAAAGAAATTAATTACTACAGTCGACCCCCCTATAACACTGTTGATTATTCCGTTTTATATGAAACTCCATGTTGTATGAGTCACTTAGATTTTACAAATGCATGTGCCGGGCTGTGAACGGCTCACCTATTTGTAAAATCTAAGTGACTTTAAACAAAATAAAAACAGCACTATGTAGTTGGATACGACAGACATTACATTTTCTAATTGCATAGCTTTTGCACATAGATTTTCTTGACGGATGATGCGATGAGATATAAATAATTTAGAAAAATTCTGTTCTCCCATTTTTTGTTTGAATAAGGAAATGACTCCCTTATTTTTTCCTGTAATTGCTGCCGCAACACTTCAGAAAATAATATTCAATTTAAACTAGACTAATTACATCAAAAAATATTTATTTATAATTTCTTCTAAACATCTCGCGGGCTGGATAGAAACTCTTCGCGGGCCGTAGCTGGCCCACCGTTGCTCTAGATCCACAATGGTCTGATCCCAATTGACCAATTTCAAACAATAAACTGAAGGAGGCAGATGTGATCATTCTGCTCAAAATTCAGTTTATTCTGACTATTGAGAAGAGACAGAGTAAGCTCATTGTATTGTGTTTTGACCACAATTTCTGAGTCTGATCAAAAATGAAAAGCTCCACAAAAATTGTGTCAATGACAATTGGACACAAAGATAGGGATCATTGCAATCTTTCTCTTGTACTGTAAGTAAATTTTTATGTAGGCAATTTTTTTTATTCTGTTTTTATCTTTTAAACACAAGGCCAAATATTTTCTGCATTTTGGCTGTGCATTTGGAAATCAGAAGTAAATGTGTGATTGTTTATTATGAAATATCATTATAACAAAGTTTTACTCAGTCCTCTTCACATTTGTTTTATATGGGCCAAACTGTATTTTTCTGTTTTATTGTAAAATGCCTGACAATGATAATTGTAGTGTTATAGAAAACACTTGCTAAGTGTATATGTGTTGTTTTAAACAATTTTATGTTATTTTTCATAGTGTAAAAACTACTAATACAGAAAAACAATTTTTTTGAAAATACATGTTTGACAATATTTTCATTTGATATATCATTGTCAAAAGTTAAAATTTAAGACATAAGTTCAAAATGATTTTGTACCAAAAATAAAAAAGTAAATATATTTTTAGACAGCAATCAATTTTTGGATATTTGATTCACTTCACAGAATTGAAAACAAAGAAATGTTCTTAAAATATTTTTGATTATAAAAATATTCATATTTAATTATCATCCATCTAGAAATATGGATTATAATCACATCAATTTCATGATCCTTATTGTCTGGCTAAAACTACGGAATGGAAGTGTGTTCAATTAATGTACTTTGGAAAAGGACTTTAAAGCAGATGAGATGGTTTCCATATCCTTGTAATTAATGGCCCTTGATCTTCTGCCTGCCTTGTAAATTTCCAGTTTCTTCAGATGTTTGAGGTGGGTAAAGTCCCATGTTGGATGTAAGATGACTGTCTTATCTAGGATAATCAGAACATTATTCTCCATTGCAAAGATATCCAAGGCAGTAGTGGATAGGCATTCTCTTATGGAAACTTCATGTTCCTTAAATTGTAATTCAAGGGAGTGGATGGTGGTGTCAATGTATTCCCCATTTTTTATGGAACTGTTATCCATGATTAGAATGGAATACATTCCTGATAGGTTTTTTTTCATCTGGAGGGTCATTAGCATTCCTGACGAGGCTATGGGATTTCTTGTATAGACAATCCTGAAGATCTCTATTTAAATTTACTCATTTAAATCTGATAATGACCATTTAAACCTATTGAAAATGTTTATTTTTCTTATTAGAATATCTTTTTCCCTTGCTAGATTTTGGTGTTGAGTGTTTATTAATTTATAGAAGAGAGCATTTTCTGTATGATCACAGGTGTTTTTGACATTAATGAATCATATTGTATCAATATCTATTTTATCAACATAAAAAATATGTTGATAAAATATAGAGCCAAATTGGTTACGTAATTTATTTAGTAATTAGCCTTAAACTAGCCAGATTGATTTTCGGCATTCTGTTGGTGTGTAGCTATAAAAAATATGTTTGAAGTATGTTTTTATTTAATAGCAAAACCAAAGTATGTATTATGGTTTTTCTATCAAATTAAAGAAAACACAACTATCAGTTGTTTCAAGTAAGATACTAAAAAAAAAGTTATTTAAAATGTGACTTGAATTTTGAAAAATAATTCTAAACTGAATCTTGAAAGACTATTCCTTGTAATGTGACAGAAAAATAAAATTTATTAAATACTTATCAAATTTCAATCATTTAATGAAATTTTGTAAATTTATTAAATGATTTAGAAGTAATATGTTATTAAAATATAGTATATTGTGTTTATGATATATGTATTTAATAAAAACTGTTATATGTAATAATATATTTTTAGTTCCTGGAGGGCCTCCAACAAATGTTTTAGTGAAAGCTTTAAGTTCTCAATCACTTGATGTTACTTGGGAGGTATGTTTATAATGTTAATTATAAAAATTATTTTGAAGTTTCTAGACTAGAAATCATAGAAACATATTGTATTAATTCTAGAAAAAATAAAGAAAAAGCTTTTAATTTTAGCAAAACTTTTATAAACTTTACCATTTATTATAATAAATGTAATATCATAATGAGTTTTTAAATTATTTTTATTCATTGATAAAAATCTTTGTAAAAGTACTTTGAATACATTGAAATTACAGTGGCTGATCGGTTAACAAACAAATCAGATAACGAACACTTTCGTGAAAGATTTTTATGTTCGGACAATGAACACATGATCGGATAACGAACACCCCACAGAACAAGCACAAGAAGTGACATAAATAATGAATATGATTGGTTTTCCCTTGTCTTTGGGCAACAATTCAAAACTTTTCAGAATGTGGGAGACTTTGACATTGATGCTCAAGCCGGTATATACCGATTGGATAGTATTCCTCTGAACTTTGAAACTCTCCCTTGTAATTCCAGCCTTTTATTTTTCTGACAAAACAATTCTTTGATGTATTGCGAGACTGTCGGGTAGGCACTCGTTAAGTTTTGCATTTTCTTTTCGAAAGGTAAAAGTATAATAGCAAAGGTAGACAGTGGGCAGAAGATGCCTAATGTTGCTGGGCAGTATGGCATGAACAGGTCTACAGTAGGCTGCAGTTCAATCTTATTTAAGAAAAATACTGTATAATCAAGAAAACTTAACAGCTAAAGGAGTAACAAAAATCATGTCTGAGAAATAAAGAACATTGAAAAGTTCATAATGGAACCTGAAACGGATCTGACGACAGAAGAACGCCAAGAACTCTTGAATAAAGAACACCAAGAAACTTGGCGAGATATGTTTTCTTCTGAAAAAGAGGATTAATGCCGATATCTGCTATTAAAGATCCTTTGAAGAAGTGGGAGGATGTCAGAACAACGATCTTAAAATGGCATCCAAACCAGGTTGAGGTTAATAGGCTTAGGGATCTCTACAATTACAATGCTATTAATTACTTCTGAAAAATCCTGAAGAAGAGAGAAAAGCAATTGACATTAGACAAATTCTTTAACTCCCACAAATGGATAAAACATAACTAATAAAAATGCAAGACTGTGTATATATGTATTTTTATTATTATATGTAAATAAACGTAGTAAGAAAGTATATATTTTTTATTTTTGGGGGTCTCCAGAACGAATTAATTAAATTCCCATTAAAACCTATGGTAAATCGATAATCGGTTAACAAACAATTCGGATAGTGAACAAAGTCTTGGAATGGATTATGTTCATTAATCGGATCACCCACTGTATTATCAAATGGATTTTATAAAGTATTTCAATATCATTTTGATTGTTCAGTTTATTTTCATGTTTCATATTTTCTATTATTATTTAGAACTTTCTTCATTATTTTCTACTTTTTAATGATACAATTATAATGAAAATATTTTAAAGACAAATGCAAAAATTTTTAAAGTTTAATTTGAAAATTTGCAAATTTTAATTTTAAAATTTTAATAAAATTTAAATTATTAGTTCTATGAAATAGATTAACACTTTGTTTAAGCATTTAAACTGCTGATTCTGTATGATCAGAGATTATACAGAATCTCATTAGAGATCAAAATTTATTGAAAAAATGAATATACAACTTGTTTGTTTTTTATTTCTTTTTTATTTGAAATGATCACATTTTATTCTATATAGTAAATAAAGTATAGTTCTTAATACAAATATAGAAATAAACTACTGTACTGATTTATAACAGTTCATTTAATAAATTTAAATAGAATGGAGTCAAAAATTTTATTAATGATTAGATCAATTTGTCCACTATACATAGGTGTAAATTTATAAAATATCATAAAATTATCATCTCTTGATAATTTTATTCAGTAAATAAATTTATTTTAATCAATTAATTTTGAAATATTTAGAAAAAAGAATGGTTTAGGAAATTATATAATTTATAGAAGATTTGAATTAAAATCATTATTATTTCAATCTAAAGCATTCTTTTTCAAAATATTTCAACAAGATCTACTGTATTTTACAGCATATGATGCAACTTTTATCCAAAAAAGGCTCACAAAATTTCCCTGTATCTTAAATGTAAAGTAGTGATCTCTGTAGGCTAATGAATTCCCTAAATTTCCTTCAGTAGGCTACAGGTTATATGCCCAACTCTTAAATCAAAATGTTATTGTTTGTTATTATTTTCTATAGCTAAACAGCTTTCTCATTTATTTATGTTGAATATTTTAATAATAAATTTTAATTGTAAACAAGCAATTATTTATTTGACATCACCACAATGCTAGGCTGCAATTTTTAATCATATTTTCAATTTATTTCATTTAAAATATATGCTTTCCACTTCAAATTAGTACTGTAGTGTCTTGCCCCTGTACATCATACTTTTCCATTAGCAATGGAGTCATACCAGTCATCTATTAACTGCTTTCAGGGGAAAAGTTTTGAATTGAATCCAGTTTGCATTGGAAGTTCATATATAGTTCATTGGGACTTCCTATCCTTCAGGTTTCCATATCTCATCTTGTTTATCATCTATCTAACTCTTTTTTTGAGATTAAAGAAAGACAGATAGATGGATGGACAGCTGGGTAGATAGATAACAGTGGGAATTCATAGGTCTACAATTTTTTCAAATTGCAGCCCAATAACTTCTTTTAAACCTCTCTTTTTTTCTAAATTTTTTCCTGTTAAATAAAAATGTTTATTTGAATTTTACTTTTTTTAATCAGAACATAGTTTAAAAATTTGGGATCAAGTACAAAAGGTACTGTACATGATGGCCTAAATATACTAAATATATTTTTTCCTAAATATCTGTACTAAAATAGGGTGCATCTTATATGCCATGAAATATGATAATTAAATTAAATTTATACAATCACAATATTAGAAATAGTGATAAGCTTAACACCAACTCATATCTATAAACCTTTTACTGGTGCGCATATCATCACACTTTACAACAGTTACAAATGTTTTTGAACCGTTACTGTTCTTCTTCAGGTAACGATCCTCTAACAGAATGCGGTTCAAAGTTGTTATGAAATACGATCCAAAATAATGTCCTGACCCGATGATGTCACTACAGACTTGCGTGTTATGCATGGTATGCTCTATCTTAGAGATTTATCTATCAGGGCGTGCCAGGCTGTCGATAGAGCAATTTCATCCTTGTAGTTAATGCAGTTACGTCCTTCACTCGTGTTTAGGCATATGTAGATCGCCTCCAGCCATCTGAGTTGGTTCGTACGGTGGGTGGTGTGAATGACCTTTGCTTGACAGAATATGGATTCTATGTCAGGGTCTGACGAGTATACAGCAAGAGCTGTGTTGGTTCTTTCATGGTTGATATCCGTTCTATGCTCTTTGATCTGGATTACTAGGGGGCGTTTAGTTGATCCTATGTAGATCATGTTTCTATCACACCTGTGATCAATGATAGGGATGGTGTAGATGTCGGTGAGCTTATTTCGGTCTGGGGTGTCTTTTCCGTTCTTTAACAAATCAAAAATTGTAGTGCATCTTCTAAATGTAATACAGATATTCTTTTTCTTAGCTATCTCCTTGTATATGGATTTTAGTACCAGATTATATGTGATAGGGATGTTACTACTAGGAGTAACGTTGGAGAGTTGGTGCCAGTTTGCTTTCTGCTGCATTTTTACTTTCAGTTTATTTATGAGCCCATGGTAAAAGTGCTGTTTGGCTATATCCTCTATGCGTTTCATTTCGGACCAGAGTGCTGTTTGGGACGAGGAGTGTGTATGTGCCCTCCTGATCAAGGCTTTGAATGCTGTGACTTTGTATTGTGGAGGGTCACATGACCCTGCTGGTATGTATAAACCAGCTGAGGTTGGTTTGCAATAAACTGCTGTGTGGACAGTTGCGCTCTCAATCATAATGCTAATGTCCAGGAAGTGTGCCTCTGTGGTATGTGCCTGGTCTATTTCTATAGTTAATTAAGCAGTACGGGTTGTTATTGATATCCTCGACTAGTGCATTAATGTTCGGCTCATCTTTCCATAGGATTAGGATATCATCAATATAGAGCTTATATATTAGGATGTTAGGGAGATATTTTGGGAGAAATTCCAATTCCAGTTTCCTCACTACTATTTCATACAGGTCTCCTGCGATGGGGCTGCCCATTGGGACTCCTCTTTGTTGTTCATACGTAATTCCTTTGAACTGGAAGAAGGAGTTGTGACACAGCATATGTGCCAATTCAAGGATATGTTGATGGAACGTGTTGTCTTTTACGATGCTAAACAGGGTGTCCCTGATGGCACAAAATACTGGTGGAAGCTTAATTGATGGGCAAAGTGATTTAAAGTCTAAAACCATGATGAAACTAAGCGGCGTAGGTAAATCTTTAATCATGGAAATAAGGTCTACCGAAGTGGTGATGGAGTATGGGTATCCTTCCAGGAGGGGTGTCAGCATCTGGTGTGCGGCTTTCTCCAGTTTAATGGTAGGTGCCCAAGCTTTATCAACTACTGGTCTTAGCTTGCACCCCTGTTTATGGGTTTTTGCAAAAGCGAACATTCTAGGAGCATCTGGTGCATCAGTAATATTTTTTAGTTCCAGCCGTTTCACTAGTTTTGTACTGGTGAAGCGTTTAACCCTTGTTTGCAAATTGGCGATGGCATTGCTATTAGCTATGCTGCATTGCATACGGTTGATGTGTTCTTCTAATAATCTGTCGTAGGTGTCTCTCTTCATGAATACTAGCGACTTGCTTTTGTCTGCTCTGACCAGCATGATTTTATGCAACTGCATCCACTTACGCGTATTCTCTAGATTTGCTCTTACGTGCTGCTCTTCCTGCGACTTCCTGGATTTTTTAGAGTAAGCTCCTTGACGTCTACACCATCCCTATCATTGATCACAGGTGTGATAGAAACATGATCTACATAGGATCAACTAAATGCCCCCTAGTAACCCGGATCAAAGAGCATAGAGCGGATATCAACCATGAAAGAACCAACACAGCTCTTGCCGTATACTCGTCATAGAATCCATATTCTGTCAAGCAAAGGTCATTCACACCACTCACCGTACGAACCAACTCAGATGGCTGGAGGCGATCTACATATGCCTAAACACGAGTGAAGGACGTAACTGCATTAACTACAAGGATGAAATTGCTCTATCGACGGCCTGGCAGGCCCTGATAGATAAATCTCTAGGATAGAGCGCACCATGCATAACGCACAAGTCCGTAGTGACGTCATCGGGTCAGGACATCATTCTGGATCATATTTCATAACAACTTTGAACCGCATTCTGTTAGAGGATCGTTACCTGAAGAAGAACAGTAACGGTTCAAAAACATTTGTAACTGTTGTAAAGTGTGATGATACGTGCACCGGTAAAAGGTTTATAGATACAAGTTGGTGTTACAGTACTATGGTGCATATATTCCACCATTAGTGATAAGCTTGTTTATAAACAAAAATATTACACTTTTCTGATCATGTGATTTTTCTGAAGATTATTAATGGTAAAATTTTTAACTGTTTTGTTTTACAGTACCTCATATCTTTAAATAGATATGAAGTACTGTAAAATGAAACAATACTTTAATACTGTACTAATTTTTTCAATAATAATTTTTTTTAATTATTTACTTAACAGAAAAGTAAATAGATAGGTAACATTAATTAATATTTGTTTCATTTAGACAATATTCTGAAAATAAATTACAGTAAAAAATACATTTTTTAAATGTAGAAAATTAACTGTATTATCTAATAAATTTATATTAAGTGGAAAAACTTAATCAAAAAATATTTAGAAAAATAAGAAAAAAATTTTTATTAACATAAAATAATATATATAATAAAAATAAAAAATAAGATTGGTTTAATTAAAAAATGTTTTAATAAAATTTAAATATGTTTTTATTATAGGATTATGTATTTATCATTATACAGACAATATATAATTTTATTTATATAATGAATTTCGCTTTAATAAATTTTATTTGCATTTATTTCATTTCAGTACTGAAATGAAATTTCAGTTTTAATTGTTTTACTTGTTTTAATAAAAATTTAAAATTTATTTTTATTTTTAATTTAAATATTTACTAGCCACCTGAAACCAGACTTCAACATGGTGTAATTCAAGGTTATTATGTTGGTTATAAAGTTCATAATTCTAGTGAACCATATTTATATAAAACTTTAGGAGTGACAAAGAATTTCCAAACCAAATGCAAATTAGATAATCTTCAAAAATTCACAAAATATGATATTCTTGTTCAAGCCTATAATATGCTGGGAGCTGGACCTAGATCAGATAAAATAGTTGCTATGACAATGGAAGATGGTAAGTTTATATTTTTTTAAATTTAGGTATTATATTAATTTATATATTTTTATAAATTTAATCTGAAAAAATCAATTTATGCTAAAATATTCATATTTTGTCTTCAAATGCTCTTACAATTATATGATTGCAAAATGACGGAATGGAGGGTATTCTTAATTGTATCTGCTATGATCAATGGTTTCTGAGGTCATGTTATGCAACTTTTTGAACTTAACAAAATACAGAAACTGGATGGAGGGAACGTCAAAAAATAAATTTATATCTTAGAAATCAACTCCAGCAAGAAGTGTAATGTTAAAGTTTCTGTTGTATTTAAATTTTATATTTTGTTCTATTCTTCTGAATGTTCTTTTTATTCACATATGTTCTGTTTGGAATACTCAACTGATGAAGACTTATCAAATTAGATTGAAAACATTTTTGTTTCATTAAAATTTTTGATTAGAGTTGATTTAGAATTTGGATTTAGAGTTGAGTTTGAATTAGAGTTGATTTTTAAGGTGTAAATTTATTTTGTAAGTTTTTGAACTTACAGTTGGTTCAGAATTTTCAAAGTAAAAAAATGAAATGACTGAAAGAGTGAGATATATCAATATTTAAAAACATATAAAGAGGAAGTTTAGAAAATTTTTTTAAAATTTGCTTTTAAAGACTCATTAGGTTTTAAGAGAATTTATCTACTTAGCTATCTTTGATAGCTAAAATAAATTAATAAACATTTTAATATATTTTATTATTTTTCTTAATTTTTGAGACAATGGTGAAAAAAATTTATACTCATTTCTTTATCACCAATGGCTTCCTCATTGAGTATAACCTATAAGTATTGATGACGTTAAGTTATGTTAAGTGTAGTGCTATGCACTCGTTTTGTATTGTAATTTAAT